TCTCTCTCTCTCTCTCGTCGTCTCCCTCTCTCTCTCTCTCTCTCTCTCTCTCTCTCTCTATATATATATATATATATATATGGGCTTCAACTGCCTTCTTCTAGTTCTTACTCTTCCACCTCTCCACTCCCCAGTAAACCCTCCTCTTTCTCACCTTCTCCCTCTGCGACGTCTCCACGGCTTCTCTCAGCTGCGTGCTCAGTGTCTCTCTCTCCTGTGAGGCATTCATCTGAAGCGTCTCCATTTCACTCCTCATCTCCTCCTGCAGCAGAGAGATCAAAAAACACAAAATATAAAATACAAGATACAAGCCACGTTCAGCATTGCCATGTTACATAATGGTATATAACGTAATGATACACTGTACTACAGTAATGATACACTGTACTACAGTAATGATACACTGTACTACAGTAATGATACACTGTACTACAGTAATGATACACTGTACTACAGTAATGATACACTGTACTACAGCAATGATACACTGTACTACAGCAATGCAAACGTTACAAAGTCTACAAAGTCTATGATAACTGACACTAGTACATAAATAGTAGTTTAGTAGTGTAGCTTAAGGATACTCTCCACCTTTTGCACGGGTATTGCTCTAGTGAAGATTAAACGTTTATTGGTGAATGAATCGAATCAATCACTTGTTTTATTTATAGAGGAGATATATCTCTATGCTCAAGCCAAAAAATTTCATGAAATTTCCAGCACCTAATTATGTTAACACACAAATTTGGAATTTTTATGTAAAAATTGTTTTGTTTTTTGATATTTCTCAACTACCAGAAAGAGTGAGGATACAAATTTTTTGCCACATGTTCAGTTAAGCACAATATGGACCAAAATAGTGCGTCTGGATTTTTCTTTAATTTTCATATTTATCGAGAAAACTGGAAAAAACTGCTTAAAAATCAAGTTGTGTTAGAGTTGAAAATTTTAGCGAATAAAGAGGCATAACTAATAAAATACGGCACTTAATAACAATCCCTGGCGCACTTCTTTACAGCAATATGTTACCATTAAAACGAGTGTAAAATTAAATTTATCTGAGTTGTAATCACAGAGAAATATCCATTTATACATCGGCTACTATGTCAGAAATCGACACGGAGAAATCATCGTTTTTCTATTTTTCACAATGATTGACCGCCTGTGTGCAAAATGGGTGAACGTATGACAACGTGATATATCTACTGTTAGTACTTACTGTGACATATCCATGACTAACTGACACCACTAAATTGGTAAAATGTTTCATGCACCTTGAGAAATTCTGACAAATTACGAGGTTACCATCGCAGAACGCGCGAACTCCGCTCATCCTGACATCCTAAAGCTAATATGTCAACAAACACGCGCCTTGTACGGCACTACAGTAAGGTGTGTTGCGTATGGGGTGCCAACGATAAAAATATTATTTAGCACATTATTTAGCATATAAAGTCATTATTTACTAATAAATTTATTTATATAATATATTATATGTTAAATAATGTATTATTTATTTATATAATATATTATATGTTAAATAATGTATTATTTAGCAATTAATATATTATTTAACAAATAATATATTATATAATTAAACTAATTTTTAATTAAAAAAAAAAAATCATTTTAATTTTATTTTATCAAATCGCTCTGACAGTTCACAATGCACATGTACCGTTTATATGAAGAAATGAGCATGTACGAAGGTGGCACATAGTGTTAGCCATCTAATTGAATATGAAAAATCGGTAAAATTTTGCCTAAAACCTTGAGAGTATCCTTAAAAGTATACATTACATGGAGTTGTGGAATGGGACACTTTAGTGTCTAATAGGCAGATAGGCTGCTTATATATATATACATACACATTTATATATATATACATATATATTAATAATGCATAATGCATTGCTTATTGTCTTTACTGCAAAATTTCCACAATTACATTATTTACACTACAGGCTAAGCAACAGCAACATGTTATTAACACACATTATAATTATCATTATTACAATAACACTACTTACCTTCTCACGCTCACGACAGTGTTTCACGTCCATCAACTCTTTCTCTATCCCGCTCAGCTGCGCGCGTGTGTGGGCGAGGTGACGAGATATCTCCTCCTTCTCTGCCAACAGTTCCTCACGCTGCCTCTCCACGTTCGCAATCTACAACATAAAATTACATTACCAATATATGTATATATATATATAATCCTACAACATAAAATTACATTACCAATATATATATATATTAATATATAAGTGTTTTAATAAAGTGAATCGAAATGCTCGCTACCCTGGGTTCGTCTGGCTAGGGGATATGCCCAACGTTGATCCATGATTGGCAGGGTTACTGTGATAGTCTTCTATCCATCCTGGTATTTCGACGAGCGTAGGTGATGAGTCGTATGGGTTGGATGTGTGTTAGATTGTTGGGGAAAAATATCCAATAAGGCTTTTCTCTCCCGTTTCTTTCTGTTCTGCGGATCGTGGCGTGGATGTTCGGGTGGGTCCGAAAGATATATTTTTCAAAGGCCCCTGGCTACTGAAAAATCCGGATCGGTGTGTTGTCGCGTGTAATAATGAGCATGTGGGTACCAGTAACCTTTGGTGCGTATTTGTTGATATTTAATCTGGTATTGGAGATGTTTGCAGCGTCCTATCATTATAGGGGTGTCATTAGGTGGACCGCCCATAACTTTGCGGCGGCCTGGCAATGACTGGCGAGTGTTTCTGTAATTCTTTTCTCTTCTTGAACGTGTTGCGGCGAAGAGGTAGGGATATTACTCGCTGACTCCCCTTGGTTTTGGGGGAGGGTAAGTCAAATCCATAAGTGTGGTGATAAGGGGCTGCTGTACCCGGATCCCTGGATACTGGGCCGTCCTGGTCTGGCTGAATTTAAGGACATGTATAAAGAAGAGGCCTGGACAGCCTCTACGGGCACAGCTCGACTGTGCTACCCACGGCATTAGCTTGGTTTGTTGTTGCCATTATAATTGTTATAAAAAACAAAACAAAATTTTGTAAAAAAGTTTTGTTTAAGAAATTGCTACACTAAGTTAGCATACTATATGATACAATATATATATAATATATATAATCCTGCAACATAAAATTACATTACCAATATATATATATATAATGCTACAACATAAAATTTAACAATACATATATATATGATCCTACAACTAACAATAACATTAACGCTCGTAAAAACGCCCCGTTTTCAAGGTTTCATTCCCAAGATGATTGTTTGGAACTCGAGTATTGATCCAGGTATTCATCGCGGTAATGATACTAACATGATTTTCTCATCAATCGACACATCAAATCGATCACAAGTCAGAAAGGGAATGCTTCCCAAAACCACATCTGTCCAACACCCTCACCCTCTCTCTCAGCTGTGCCGCATCGCTCTCTCTCCTCCCAACCTCCTCTGAGCTCTCGGCTTCCCGCCTCCCCGCCCGCTCTCTCTCCACACGCAGGCTCTCCTCCGTCTCAGCCAGCTTACTCGTGGCGCCCTCTAGCTCGCTGCGGGTACGGTCGGACTCCGCGGAGAGCGCCTCTTGTTTCACGGTCAGCGTCGTCAGCTGAGTGACCTGTGAGGGATGTTCACATGTTCACGCGAGTCACACCCGATTTCATCACATGCGGGGAAACTTAAATTGTTTAAATCTAATGTCATTACGTCACAAAAATCTCCCCATTCATATATTTATCTTTATATAATTTATATTATATTACATTACATTATGTTACATTATACTATATTATATTATAATTACATTATATAATTTATCTAATATTTCGCTAACTTTTACATAAAATCTAGCACTACGTAATTGCATGTCATTGTTATATCAGTTATATGATCATATCATTGTTGCATGCTCACGTGTTCAGACAGCTCCTTCTGTATCCCCTCATAGTCCGCCTGAAGCTTCGTGCGACTAGTGCTGACCTCTAGCAGCTGCGATTCCAACCCCGAGCATCGCTGCCTCTGTTCCTCCAGTTCCGCCTCTCTCTACGAAACAACGCCAAGCAATGAAAACGCAGAGAATGTAATTGTCGAGTAACCCTTACACGATACGATACGATACGATACCCCTACACGATACACGCACACTTACACTGAAGTTTTATTTAATGTAATGTAACAATAAATAGAGTCGCTCTACAGAATACTAATATTTTCTTTACGATACATGCATGATTACAGTTCCACTCTATTTTTTATCGTAGCTCAATTAGAGGAAAATGTTATCACATTTAGCTGGAGAATAGGTAGAAATCATGTGATATGAACATAAGGACAATAATAAGGACAAATTTAAAGACTATGACATAACATCCACGAAGAAAACAATCAGTGATTTTACAGACACTTCATATGTCGGTATATGCCATATAAGTCATATGTCAGATAAACTCAAATAATAAGGACAAATTTAAAAACTATGACATAACATCCACGAAGAAAACAATCAGTGATTTTACAGACACTTCATATGTCGGTATATGCCATATAAGTCATATG